AAGACTCTGTCTCACACACAAAAAAAAATAATAAAATAAAAAGGAAAAAGATTAGAAAGCATGCACGCAACATATGAACTACTGCATTTTTTTCCAGAACTACTAACAGTGTACATTTTTTCTAGATACCAACTACAGATATATTCACATCTTTTGAGTTTATATTAGGTGATTCCTAAGGTTTCTGGTAGGTCTGTAACTGTGATATATTAATGCTGGTGAAGAATGAATGACTGAATTCGAGAATACAGCTACTCTGATTTAGAAAACAATAATGATACAGCAATTGTTCTGATATGAAATACAGTTGTTTTTCTGGGAATGCTTTCTTTTGGACTAAAGAGCTACAGTTCAGATTTTCCAATAGCCTGTAGTTTGTACAGAAGAGTATCTGCCTTTTAAAATCAAAATGTAATTAGGTTCCTCAAAAACTAAAAGTAAAACTGCCATATGATCCAGCAATCACAGTTCTAGGTGTATATCCAGATAAATAGAAATCAGTATGTTGAAGAGACATCTGTACTCTCTTATTCACTGAAGCATTATTTACAATGGCAAAATTTTGAATTGACTAGAGTGTCTATCAAGGGATGAATGAACAAAGAATATCTGAGGTACATACACAATGGAATACTACTCAGCCTTACAAAAGGAGAATTCTGTCATTTGTGACAACATGGATGAGTCTGTAGGACATTATTCCAGGTGAAAGAAGCCAGGTACAGAAAGGCAAATATTCCATTATTTCGCTTGTATATAGAATCTTAAAAATGTTGATCTCATAGACGCAGAAATTAGAATGATGCTTACCAAAAGCTAGGGTAGGGTAGCAGGGATGAAATACAGAGCTGATGGTAAATGGTACATAGATTCACATAGATAGCAGAAATAAGTGTTTGAGATCTGTAACAGTATGGTGACTATTGTTAAAAATAATGTATTGCATATTTCAAAACTGCTTTAGTACATTTGAAATATTCTCACCATAAAAAATGGTAAGTATATGAAGTGATGGATATGTAGCTTGATTTAATTATTCCACAATGTATACACATATCAAGACACCACATTGTATTCTATATATACAATTACTGTCAATTAAATTTTTTTTTTTAATTCAAATGAAATCAGGCTGAATATTTTGCTGCCCTCACCAGGGCACCACAGCATATGCAACTCTCAATTTCATTGTGAAAAAATTTGAATATTTATCTAGAAATATGTATATCCTTTAATACATGTGAATATAAATTTATACTAGAAGCCTTGTTACACATCTAATACTCACTCAATAATTCATGTATCTAACTTTTTAAATTTTCTTCCTTTTTTGAGAGGGGTATATCAGTATGTTGCCCAGTCTGGTCTTTTTCTCCTGGACTCAAAGCAATCCTTGCACCTCAGCCTCCCAAGCAGCTGGGATTACAGGTGTGTGGCCACTACATCTGGTTTTTAACTTTAAAACTAAAGCACCAGCAATGTCAAACAAAGCCAAGTGAAAAATTAGCAGAAATTACTAGTAATAAAGCATGCTCAGAAAGGAAATCTATGTTTTATAGTATTTTTCTGATTATAGGGATTTTTAAAAAACCCTATTTTGTGCAGCCTAATACAGTAACATATCATGTAAAATTTAATTATAGAATATAGGACTTACATGTATTTCAGCAGCAACATGATAAAAATACATTGGTAGTTTATATAAAATAAAACATATACAGGGAAAAATACAGGAAAAAAAATCCTCTTGTTAGGTGGAAAAATACTCATTTGTTGGTGGGAAAAATATTAATTTGGCTATGAAAGTAGGTTTATCATCAAAGCTAGAGAGAATAATTAAAATAGTCACAGGAATCTATCGGTTACTTCACCCCGTGCAGTCTTTTAAAAATGTAATGGGAAATACAGATTCTTCTTGACTTACAATGGGGTCAAGTCCCAATAAGTGTATCTTAAGTTGAAAATATCCTTAAGTCAAATGCATTTAATACACCTAACCTACCAAACATCATAGCTTAGCCTAACCAACTTTAAATATTCTCAGAACACTTACATTAGCCTACATTTGAGCAAAATCATCTAAAAAAAGCCTATTTCATAATAAAATGTTGAATATCTCATGCAATTTATTAAATACTCCACTGAATGTAAAAAACAGAATGTTTGTATGGGTACTCAAAGTACCTGTATGAATGCACATGACTTTCGATCCATCGAAAAGTCTGAAAAATTTTAAGTCAAACCGTCCTAAGTTAGGGACAACCAGTACATTACCTACATGGTCTTCCTCAAAAATGCCCATTTCCATCTTGCTTTGTTTTGTTGTCTTTCAAAATAATGATCCTTAATAATTACCTACTTGCATTGCACTTATTTTTGTGTTAAAATTACACTCTCTCTGAGCCATGTAATATTTAGAATAGTCAAATTGTTACAAAAAGATTTGTATTTTTGAGTTGTTATTACTTGTAGAATTGTTTAAGGAAAAAAAAACCTTCAGGTATTTATGTTGACAAGAAATGGATGTTAGCTATTATCCAATCCCTTGCAGGTATAGTTTGATAAGTACAGATCAGTGAAATCAGAGATATTCCCTGATTTCCCTTTGTAGAACTTCAGATGGTATATAATTGCACATTGCTTAGATATTAAAAGGTGAATAATAAAATCATTAGTCCCTTACAAAAAGTTTGTTACAAATAAATGAATATATATTCACATATATAAAGATATACACACATACACACATATACATTATAGCCACATGTTGTAAGTGAATAGTGAATTCGTGAAACTAATTAGCACAAATGCAGATTCTGAAATTAGGTCATCAATAAAAGAAAAATAGGGACAAAATGGAATTCTACAAACACTGAAAGTTTAAGTAAAAATTAATATTGAATTTACAAAAAGAATCTGTTTATGGGGTGCATCAAATGTAACACTGTCACTGGTAAGTATGACAAGGTTTAATTTATATTTTTCAACTCCATCATGATTGTATCATTTGAAATGTCATTTTAATATCACTAATCTTTTTCTTATCTTGCATTGTGAATACACATACACATAAACAACGTATATGTGTATTGTATACAATGTATATTCTATAGGTATATATTTATATATAAGTATAAAGGTATATAACCATACTGTCATATTGTCATATAGTATGTAGTTTATATGGTAACATAGATATATAAAAGTTAGCTTATATTTCTTAGCAGTTGAAACCACTAAGCTCTATTTGTAACTGTAATCAAATTGTAGCTTATTTTAGAAATCAATAGAAATTACTATCTGTTCAAAAATGTTCTGTTGGGCAGTAATAAATTTAAGATCAAGATTGAAAAGGCATTATGAACAGCTTTAAGTCAGAAATTTGAAAAGTTATAGAAAATTAAAACATTAACTGCAAATATGTAAACTATTAAAACAGATTGAAGAATATTACATTTCATAAACTCTGTGTAATAGTGTAACTGCCCAATGGGTTTACCCTGCCCGCCACCTAGACAGAGCTGATTTATCAAGACAGGGGAATTGCAATAGAGAAAGAGTGATACACACAGAGTTGGCTGGTTGTGTGGGAGACTGGAGTTTTATTATTACTCATATCAGCCTCCCAGAGCATTCGCGGAGCAGAGTTTTTAAAGACAACTTAATGGGTAGGGGGAGGCCAGTGAGCCAGGAGTGCTGACTGGTCAGGTCAGAGACAAAATCACAGGGAGTCAAAGCTGTCTTGTTGTGCTGAGTCAGTTCCTGGATGGGGGCCACAAGATTAGATGAGCCAGTTTATGGATTTGGGTGATGCTAGCTAAACCATCAAGTGCAGGGTCTGCAAAGTATCTCAAGCACTGATTCATTTATTTATTTATTTAGTTAGTTAGTTAGTTTTTTTGCGGCGCACTTGTACTTTTATCACGGACAATGTGCCCCCATCCACATCCACAAATTAGTGCTGTCCAGGCCACACCCAGGAGCCCCTGTCCAACCACTGTCCTCCCAGGGCCTCGCCCAGGCTTCCTTCACACCGTCACTCGCTAGGACACACAGCAGCTCTTCCACTCTTACCTGAGGTTGTATTATAAAAGCACGTGCTGGTTGAAAACACTTCCAACAATGCAGAAATGAGCAAGGGGAAAGTGGAACTTGCTGTGGACACGGCCACACGACCACGCTTTTGTTCCTGTTGGGATGCCTAGGTCGGTTTCACAGGTCGCCTCGCAGTCCTGCAGGCTGAACCCGTCTATCTGGGCGCCCTGCGCTGCCTACCTCCTGGGCACTCTGGGGCGACGTGGACGGATGCGCCCTTGTCTAAGGTTCGGTGCGTGCAGTCAGGACTGCACCAACAATGTTCCGTCCATCGATGAGGGAGAGTCCTCCCCGGGAGGGGCTTCCGTGACTGCCATTCTGGGCACTTCCGGAGTTTCTGCAGGAAGTGCTGTCTTTGAGTCACTCTGTTTTGTCCCGAGGCTGCTGCGAGGAGGAGGACAGGTGAGCACATGCTGGAGGGTGGGGACGTGCGGGAAGGCTTCAGTCCAGGCACAGTCACAGGTCCCGGCTGCCCTGCTTTCCCTGGCCCGAGAAGAGCAGCCCCCAGCAGGCTGCGGGCACATTCCCGGCTCATGCAAGGCCTAGACCGCTCTGCAGGGCCCCAGCGCCCCGCCTTAATTTTCACCTTTGTTCCCTCCTGCTTTCCAGCTTTGGAGTCCTTGTTAGGAGGAACTCGAACCACAAGCTTATAAACGCGACACCTGCATTCCCTTCCAATCCTTCATGGTTTTCTTTTTTACACACAAAGCTTACAACCTTTACTTTTTCCAACTGCAAAACAGTTTTTCCAACACATTTTTAAAAACAAATTATCCTTTTATCATATGCTGAAAGCCCTACCCATAACAAGCCCACTTCTGCCTTTGACTCTGTTCACCGACCTTTCATTTACTTCCTAATCCAACCCTTTTGGTAACTTTCACTGAAGAGGTGGCTTTAACAAATACATTATCCAGAAATCTCCAGAACCTTTGCGTGGGTCAGGGTGAAAGGTGCCGCCAGGACGTAAGCAGAACAGCTGAGTCCTCCGGGTAGGTGCCAGGTGCCATCTGCACAGGCCGCGTGTGTGGGAGACATGGAGTCAGACGCGCTTGCTGAAAATGCAGCCGCTGTCTCTGGCAGAGCACACAGGCCCCAGGGCCCTGCGGACAGGGCTGGTCTCAGCGTATCCACGCCACTTCCTGGGTTTGGGGGGTGTTACACCAGAGGCTGCCCGCAGCAGGAAGGCCACGCAGAGGCCAGGGGCTCTTATTCCACTTGGCAGAGACTCCCAGGAGCCACGGGGCATCATCAGAGCCTGGGGCCCTGGCAGGGTAGCCCAAGGGCACAGCAGCTGCAGGCCCTTGGCAAGACCGGAAGACGGTGAGTGGAAAGCCGGGGCGCGTGGAGCGACCCCGAGAAGGGGCTGTTGAGCTGTGAGTCCTGCATTTGCCGTTCGTGTTTCATCCAGCAGTTTTGAAACCAGGTTTTTATCTGGACCTTTGAGAGCTGCATCTCCCTGGCCAGCCCCTTCCGCTCCAGAGGGCCCAGGTACTGGTGGTGCCAGAAGTCGCCTTCCAAGGCGCGGACCTGCTCTGTGCTGAAAGTTGTGCGGACACGGGGCCGCCAGGAGTTTGGCTCCTTACTCAGCCCTTCACAGAACAGGGTCATGCAGCCTCTCTGTCCTGGGCCCCCACCCCAGTCCCTTACTGCAGCCGGGGTGGCTCCTCTCTCCTCTCAAGCACTAATCTTAGAAGCAGTTTAGGGTGAGTCAGAATCTTGTAGCCTCCAGCTGCATGACTCCTAAACCGTAGTTTCTAATCTTGTGGCTAATTTCTTAGTCCTACAAAGAGAGTCTGCTTCTTAGGCAAGAAGGAGGTTTGTTTTGGGAAAGGCTAAGTTCCTCTCAAAGTTCAGCCTATGCCCAGGAATGAACAAGAACGGGTTGGAGGTTAGAAGCAAGATGTAGTTGGTTAGGTTAGATCTCTTTCACTGTCTCGGTCATAATTTTGCAATGACGGTTTCAATGGTATATTAGTGTTCATTTTATTCTCCATTTTATTGCGTATGTACATCTGTACTTTTTTATAATACTCGAGAAAAATCTGCCTCTTTTATTAATTCTTTTCATTTTTTTTTTCCACTGACAGCTTTGGCTTTGTTTATCTTCTCTATTGAATCTTGATTCGCTAATTTAGTAATTTATATTCTCATGTTAGTTATTTCTTCTTGCATTTATTTTGTGTTCCTTTTTCAGACAAGCTGAACATTTTGCTCACGATTTTTATCCTTTTATCCTTTACTAATGTAAATATTATATCCATAATTTTAAAAATATACCTGACACCACCTTTGCAAAATTATTGACAGTAAGAGAAGTTTGACACAGTTGATTTCATCTTGCTTCTGACCTCCAAGATGTCCTTGGTCACTCCTGGGCATACGCCAAGCTAACTTGGAGAAGAACTTATAGTTTAAGTTTAAAGCAAAGATGATAATAGCTCCTCCCAAAACTAAACTGCCTTTGTAAAATTAATGAAAGTCTACAAGGTTATGTTTATGAGAGGGGTCTGAATTCTGCTAAGATGTAGGCAGTGTACACTAATAACCTGCCATTGTTATGGTCACAAGATTTGTAACTTCCTTAATCACTCATATAGATAACATCACTATTGTAGAACCAAAGATTGGCCCTTTGAGAGTCTCTTCAGACTTTTGCATTTCTCATGACCAGTTGACTCCACCCAGCCCTGAAACTCATACCTTAACTGGTCCTGTGGCCCCCACCCAGAGGCTGACTCAGCACAGCTTTACTGCTTTCCATACCCGTCTGATTTCATCCCCAACCAATCAACATTCCCTATTCCCTAGTACTCAGCCCACCAAACTGTCCTTGAACAACTTTGAGTAGTAAGTCCATCTGCCCCCTTGGTGTCTTCATGTGAATTAAACTCTTTGTTTTCTCAGTGAAGTAATTTTGTTTGTAGGGCAAGCAGGAAAAAACCCTTCAGGCAGTTACATATCCTTTTGCTTTGTTTCAATATGTGGTATTTTCATTGACTTCCGTTTTTATGTTATGGGAGAAGTTCATTTGGAGATACATGGAAGTGAATTTAAAAATGTCACAGGTAGGAGAGTAACTTTGTATCTGATACTGACATCTAACTTAAATTGCATTGTGATTCAAACATATGACCAGTTTCACAATCATACTTTAAGTGTTAAACTTACTTCATTATCTAATACATAACCCCTTGTAACACATATTAACTTTACAGTTGTCCCTGTGTATCTGTGGGGGATTGATTATAGGGTCTCTGTGTATACCAAAATCAGAGGATACTGAAGTCCCTTATATAAATCTATGGACTTTCTCCCATGTACTTTAAGTTATCTCTAGATTATTTATAATAGCTAATACAATGTAAATGTTATATAAATAGCTGTTATACCATATTTTGTTTGCATTTTTTTTATTGTTCTTTATTTATTTATTTATTTTTTCTCTGATATTTTTTATTTGTGGTTGGTTGAATCTACAGATGAGGAACCCAAAGATTTGGGTTCCTCTGGGTTCTTACATATTAGTTATGGCTTGGAAATAGAGTAAGTAGCCAATTTTTCTAATTAACTAGAAAATTTGTTTTCATTTATTATAATTCTTGACATTTAAATTTACTTCTACCTAAATATTTTGCATATTCAATTTGTCCAACTTTTTATATACTTTTTAATCTTTTCTTATTTTGATTTGCCTCTTTTTCACGCAGTAAAAATTTTTCATTCCAAATTTCCATCACAATTTTAATAATTAGGTAGTCACACTCTAATTATATACTTTTAGTGGTGGTGCTTGAAACTTTATTATACATACCTAAGTCAATAAGGTTAAAATCTAAATTTAAAGTATATAATTATATTTATCTTTCACAGTGCAAAACTTTAGAACACTTAAGTTTCAATCATTCTCCACATCTTACATGCTTTTATAGTTCAGTTTAATAAGATAAAATTAACAAGATTTTAATAAGCGTAGTAAGCTTTCTATTTGACCTCGTCTTGTTTCTTTGATTTACCTATATGTATGTAATTTTCTGCTTCCATTTTTTTACCTCTGTCCTTCCTTCTGAGATCATTTTCCTTACACATGTGATCTCAATCTACATCCTTGCTCATGATAGTTGTGACTCAAATCCAACTAATTGTTTGTGAACTCTTTCTCTAGGGAAAAATTTAGGATCCACTCTTTATCTTTCAGAATTTTTGTCACTTATTCTTTTGGGCATTGGCCAAGGCTAAGCAGCTTAGACACATCTTTCTGAGAAGTTTTCTTTTATTAGCTTTTATTTTCTTTGCTCTCTTTATTAAGATTTTATTTATTGTGTATTGGATCTCATGTTGTTTTCCTCATTTTGTCCTTTTTTAATTTATTTTCTTAACTTTTCTAAGCTGTCAATTTTTAAAGTGTAATTTTAGAAATATCTTTAATTTTAAGAGCTTCTTATTTCTTGTTTTTTTTTTATATTCTTTCTTGTATTGTGAATGCAATATTTAATTCAATTACAGTTATTTTAAAGTTCTCTTCATCAATACCTTTTTTCTAAGGCAGTGCTTCTCAACCTTGGGGACACTGACATTGTGTAAAGGCATTTCACATGTTATAAAAGGCTGGAGGTTTTGGAGATATTTTAATTTCACTAATTTAAGGAAGTTTTTGGAGGGAAGGAAGATAGATATGCAGCATGTATTGATAAGCTGCAGTGGGCATTGAAGAGTATTTGCTTTTTTCACTTCTTGGACTTTTTGAATGATCAGAAATTTTTACCCAGGATTTGCAGTGATCTTTTTAATCTCTATGAAAACACATTAATCCCCTACTCATAACCACTTTGACAGATTCCCATTGCATCCTGGCTAAAACAAAACCTTCTCATGATTTCCTACTCAAAATGCCTGATAGTCTCACTCCATTTATCTCTGTAATCTAATCAGGCTTGTCATCATTCTGAAGCAGCTACATTGATCTCAGTTACTTTAGGTAACTAACGTCCACTTAGATTTAGAGATTTACATATGCTGTTCCTTTTGCCAGGGAAAAAAAAAATCTAATTGAAGTATTACTTACTCCAGGAGAACTTCTCTAACCACCTCTCTTTCCCCCAGATATTAATTATGTCTGGTCATTATAATTTTTTTTTATTTTGCCTTAGTTTTCTTTCAAAGCACTTTCATATTTTGTAACTATAGCATAGTCATTTTTGTGACTATTGTAAATACTTATTTCTTCTATAATGTTTTACAGTTTTATGAGGGTATGGATCACACATTTTCATTGAGAGCAATATTCTCAGTACCTACATGAAACGCCTAGCACAACCTAGGCAGTAACTGTATACTTAACAATGAGTTAGTGACAGTCAAATAATGCTATATGTATTTTTAATGTTGGTAAGTACAATTGTGATGACCCCTCTTTTTAATATATGAGTTTGTGGTTATATAAAGTTATAAAGTCTAATCACTAAATAGAAGATTATTATATATAATAAAGAATAAGGAATATCTTATAATATGTGTACATATATATGGGTGTGTGTGTATATAAGTCAACCCAGCAATCCCACTACTGGTATCTACCCAAAAAAGGAAATTGTTTTAGCAAAAAGACACCTGCAGGGCCGGGCACAGTTGCTCTGACCTGTAAGCCCAGCCCTCAGGGAGGCCAGGGTGGGAAGATCACTTGAGCCACAGAGTTTTGAGGCCATAGTAAGCTATGATTACACCACTATATATCTAGTCTGAGAGACAGGGCAACATTATGTCTCTTTAACCAGAGAGAGACACCTACGCACATGTGTTTATTGCAGAATTATTCACAATAGCAAAGTCATGAAATTCAGCCTAAATATCCATTAACAGATGATAGGATAAAGAAAATGTGGCTTATACACACCATGGAATACTACACAGCCATAAGAAGAATGAAATCATGCCTTTTGCAGCAACATGGATGGAGGTGGATGCCATTATCCTAAGTTAAATAACTCAAACAGAAATTCAAATACTTCATGTTCTCACTTGTAAGTGGCAACCTAACATTGGGTACACGTGGACATACAGAGGGAAATAATAGACAATAGAGACTACAAAAGCAGGGAGTGTGCAAGGGCAGTGAGAGCTGAAAAATTACTTTGGTTACAATATTCACTATTTAGGTGCACTAAAAGCCCAGATTTCACCACTACACAACATATCCATGTAACAAACAGCACATGTACCCCCTGAATCTATGAAAACGAAAAATAAAAATTCTTATTATAAAATGTTGGCATAGTATTTGTATATACCATAAAATGAGTTAGCTACATGTTTGTAGATTGATTAAATAATTGTTCTGGAGTCATTCGTAATTGTTCACAAAGAGAAATCAGTGCCTCGGGTTCTTTATTATAAATGAGGATAACAACAGTGTTTATTTCATAATGTTGTTATTAAGATTCATTAATACATGTTAAGTTGTCAAGCATGTGAAACAGAACCTGACACACACATAAAGTAAATATTAACTATGAAGAGGAGAAGGATGATGATGATGATGATATAGAAATGAATCACAATTCGGCTTTTTTGGTTTGCTTGTTTTTAATATTCATAATGGAAGAAATCCCTAT